GTTCGCGCCTCTTACCTACATTGCGATGGTCTGCACTTCGTTAGTTCAATGGTATCACTACCGTGCAAGAGGTGTCCGCACCTCTTTTATGGATTTTGCGGTTGTCCGCATCGTTTGTCCAATGAACTTATTATCTATATATACAACAGGCGTCCGCGCCTCTGACCTTCGCTGCGGTGGTCCGCACTTTGCTTAGTTCAATTTATACTACCATGCAACCTAGGTGTCCGCACCTCTTTTACTGTATCTTGCGGTTGTCCGCACCTCGTTAAATCTATACACAACAGGCGTTCGTGCTTGAGTCGAAAACAAGTCAAGTCAATGCTATCCCGCTGATCATGAGATCCCGTTCGTGCCCACGGAACTCACGACCTGGTGCAACTCAGAACTCGAACCTAAGGACCGACCTCGGAACGGGTCAGACGTCTTAGACCAACCGAACTGGACAGACGTCCCACAGGGTCCCGGTCCGACAGGGTCGGAAACACTCCGATCCAAATGCCAGCAATCCATTAGACCCCATGCGGCGGTCAGAGGTAGACCCCGATCCGATCCCAAGTGAATCCGATCCAAATCGGTTGTACCGAGCTAGCCTTTGGCTGAGCACATAGACCCCTTTTGAGGACATGGTTTCCCTATGCTTCCCATGGAAACCGGAGGAAAGTTTCAAAAGTGACCCAGGAGTGCCATAAATCTTTATCAGACCATGGACACCAAAGGTGCTTCTCGATTGCGGCAGCTGGCTTGCAGCATGCTGATCAGATCTTTCTTGAAGTGCCTGCAAAGTGTAGTCCGCGGAGGTTTAGTGCGGCCGCTTTTCCGGAGGTCAGCATGGATTTGCGCCCTTCTTACATGTCCATCGTGGCCCGGTAGCTGTGCGGGTCCGAACTGGACCGGATTCCCTGCCAAATCCATCGAACAGGACCTGATGCGCCGCCAGGTTTCAATCGGTCGGGGCCGAAGGTGGGCCGGGGCCCAGAAGAGGCTGTTTTCTAAGCTGTTCATATCGGACACGATGCCAATGACGAGCATGTACCATCCATGCATCTAGCCTTGTTTGACGCTTTGCACCGGAGTGAACTCCGTGCCTCGTTTGATCCGGCCCAGCGATCGGTCAAGAAACGCCGAAGTTCGGCCGGCTCGGTAAGGATTGCCTTCGAGCATGCCTAGCTCTTTCACAAGTTGCGAGCAGATTGGCGGTTTCCAAAAAGTTGGACTATTTGCAGATGTCTCAAGGGATTAGGATCCTGCAGATCTTTGTCACTGTTCATTCCAGGAAAGGAAGCAAACGAAAGGATACAATTTGATGGAGGTTTCTTTGTATTTGTGGCTCGACTTGTTCTTTATTGGCACATTTAATTTGGCACCATTGGTCGTATACAGTTGGTTTCCTGCATCAAGTTGATTTCCGTCCCCTGGAGGAACCATGGTTTCTGCTTGTAGTTGTATGACTCTTTGGATGGACACCAGGGCAATTCATCCCTGAAACCTGAAAACTCATGAGGCCGTCAAGCAGTTGCCTTGCGGAACCCTGCAGCAATGCAAATGTGGTTTAGGTTGTTATAGAGAACAACCACTTAACAATCATGAGACCTGCCGTTCATGCATTAAGTCACACAATGAAGCCTTTTCTGGGGGGGGATAGTGTGTTTTATTTGTTCTGTGGCCTCGAATACTTGGCCAGAGTTATAATAGCGGTTTTGTACCATAGATTTGCTCAACAAACCAGCACATGTTCCTCCTCGGCACCCCCCATAATTGAAGTCCACCAGGTGCTATTTGTTTGACTTAAAACGGTGGAAAAGCTGAATTTATGACGATTTTGTTTTTTGGATTGTATTTATCCAGCTAGAGTTCCTGGACAAATGCTGTTGCATCCCAAGCTGTAAAATCCTGGTGAGTGGGAACTCAGCCTTCTCCGCTCGCTCCTCTCGTTGGCTGACACGAGATTGATGACGCCCCCCAAATCCATGACCATAACTTAAAAACAGGGTGACCTTTGAAGTCAGTTCAACAAGATAAGGGGTGAATCATAAAGAAAGACGAAGTCGAGTTCCTTGTTCATAAGGACGACTGCTCCCTGTGCTTCGGACCCATTGCGACCAGCCAGGTCCGAACTCGACGATTTAAATACGAGCAAATTGTTAAATGGGAGTCCAATGGAGAACCCGGGAGAACCAATGGGAACCCGGGATAGTGTAGGGTAGTCCAATGGAGATCCCGGGATAGTGTAGGGTAGTCCAGCCAGGACATCCAGGTCTAGGACCCTAGGATGGTCCTGCTAATCCAACAACTTCTCTGGGGAAGAACTCATCATCCTTCAAGTACAACAGCACTGGAGATACACCCTCTCTCCAGGCTAGCAGACCTTGGAGCAGCAATTAAACAACAAATGCAGAGGTTTCTAAGTCCAAACACATCAATGTATCCGAGTATCTTACATGATTGCATCTAGGAATGCAGAGTTCCTGCTTTGCCGTGGGAAAAATATGACTTTGACAGAGATATATAGAGCTTCGAGTCACCTCCCTGACACCACATTGGTCTATCGGCAATCGTGCACTGATGAGCACAGTCACTATATGTTTTACTCCTCTTTTGAGAGAGGCTCTAGTTGGCACCGCTTCTACCCGAAACCACATCAACAAGAATCAATTCATCCGAAACCACAAAAACACAAGCGTGCCGCGTGCAATCTTCGCTGAATCCGAGCTTTGCTGGACCCAGCAAATCGCTTTTGTCGCAGCAGGACAGCGTTGCTTGTGTCCACCAGTGAACCGGGGTTGGGCGACCGGGCTATGCAAGCATGACTTGAAATTACCCCTGCTGGTGCTAGCTTTGAAATATGCAACATGTTCTGGATACGTAAAACACTTACAATAATGTAGCTCATGTGTGATGACATTCTTTGGTGAGTGGTTTTCCCATTTGCTTTGTGCAAAGTCCTGCTTATGTTAGTGAGCCTTGTGCCAATGGAGCTTGAATTCAACCGCGACATCAATCATGTCTCCTACGCCAGTTTGGACTTAGCAAAGTGTAACTTGCATCAACCTGTGTTGGACAAAGAAAGGCATCCCCAAAAGAGAAGCCTGCCAAGTGGACTTCGGTCCTGAACTTCTTTTCCACCGGTGGCACCAATTTGAGGACAGGACTGGGCCCATGAGCCATGAGATCGTCCTGTACTCCAAGGGCAAGGACTGGGCCCGCGGTGTTTTTGTGGCAGCAGTGCTCGGAACCGCCCACTCTCGGCCCACGCAGAGAGTGGGGACCCTTTTGGGGGAAGGGGTTTCTCAACAACTGCTGAACTATGGATAACTCGCCAATCCTTGTCCCTTGATGTTAAGTGGGCATCAGTGAAGTCTTCTGGACCTCCAGACGTGGCCCATCCTCACACTTGTGTTTACAACTCATGCTATGGAAGTTTCATAATATGCCTCAATATCTAAGTTGCCACCGCGCATTGTTTTGAGCACTCGGTCTTCCTGTGTACTAGTGGGGTGCAAAAACACCTGACTGCGCAGCAGCTGCCACACAAACACACACGCACTGCCGCTAGACATCTGCAAGTGAGCGGAGTTTATGAATCGGCATCCAACACTGTTATATGTGTGTTTACATCGTTAAGTTACAGTTGTTTCTAGCGGCGACTGGCGAGCGATTCCGTTCATGCCGTGGATGGCAGTGGGGGCATTGGTTTTTAGCTGCAAACACTCAGATGACTCGTCATGGATCACCGGTTGCAACCGATCATCGCCTCTATCAACCGCACACATCAACCCTGTCAACCGCACATGTCAACCCAGTCGTCGCCTCAATGGATGATCTAACCCATGATTTCTGCGCTGCTTCTTTGGTGCTGCTTCAGGAAAAGTCTACAAGGCTTAGCCTAACGATGGCCGGTTTCCATGAGGATTCCCTGAATTGTTGGCCGAAAAACATGTGGCAGTGACTCAGTGAAAGATCACCAGATCTGTATATAATGCTTTTTCGGGGTCCCTGGAAATACCCAACAACATCGCCCGACAAGTAGGAAAACAATTCGCCAAAGTACCCTGACGACTGTCAGCAAGCAAGTGAGAAGGACTTATCTATGTGATACCGGGTCTTCAACTGGTAACTTAAAACCTGTTAAGTGTGTTTTTAATATAATTGGTAGATTGAGAGTAGATGGCACAG